TGATGGTAAGAAGTGCTCTCAACGACCTTAGAAGGAGAAGAGACCGAGCAATGAGAGGCAGCATGAAAGGAGAAAATTAAATCTGAAACACTGAAGAGCTCACGGCCTGGAGGGTCAGATGCGGGGACAGTCCGGTGGGAGGCCACTGCAGTGTTCGCAACGAGGGACACGGTCTGACTGACTCTTTTCTGAAACCACTATCATGCTGTATTGTCGCCGTCTCCACACAAGGCTTTACGTTCCTGGGACAGAGACTGGCCGATCTTCACATCTGTCCCCTCAGCGCTCAGCCCAGGCCGAGCACAGGGTAGGTGCTGAGTGGCTAGTTGGATCTTCTGGCTTTTCGTGTGTTATTTCCCTTCAGTTCACCAAGCTCGACTTTAGTTCTCTGGTTTCTGCTCAGCGTGATAGCACCAGACGAACCCCAGTGTTGACGGTGCCAATCCTGAGACTCCTGGCTGTTACATCTCTGCGATTGATAAGCCACATCTGGACCAGACTGAACCTGAACAGTTGACATTATGAACCCACGTGCAAGACATAACACAGAGGAAGACCATGGGCTGCAAACCGATGCACTGACCATGTGACCCTGGGAACGTTCCCTAACTCCCCTGAACGTGAGTTTTCATCTGTAAAATGGGTCCAGTAGTCTGATTTCTCTCTCGGACAACGCCCGGCACTCAGAGGCGACTCAGACGCTCAGTCAACCAGCAATGCTCCCTTCCCCAAAGAGGGCGAGAGGGCCTCCACCGAGCCGGCACTGCAGCGGCCACTGTGGAGATGCAGCCATCACAGATGCCGGCAAGTGGTCACAGGCCTGATCGTCTTCAACCCCAAGTCCAGGGTGAGAGCCCACGTCAGGAGAAACTGCTCCAGGTTGGCTTTAATCCCTACTCTGGGCACAGTTGACGAGCAGGTATGAAGCGGCCTGTGCTCAGATCAGTTCTCCCTCGGTCCTCAGGGACACGCTGAGATCTTCTGGCAGATTCCCTGCTGCCTGTGCGCCATTGTCTGACCTGTATCCTAGTCGCCTTACCAAGAGAGTAAAAGGAAACGGGGAGTTTAACAGTTTGTTCCTGGCAAGTCCGTGGTGGCCCCGGTGGTGCCCGATGCCATTCCAGCCATGGCGAGTTGCGCCCAGTGACTTTGTTGCTGACGCTGCTGGTCAGGAAGACAGATGCTGGATGCCTCGAAGCGCAACAGCTGCTGGTTCCATGTCGGCAAGTTTCAAACATGTAAACTGCTAGTGAATTGGTAATTATTGCTGACTAGTTCTCAATTTAGTGTCCCTAAATGAAAACAAAGGGCCTTAGCTCTAAAAATGGGTATTTTTTTTTAAAGTGTTAAATGATCATTTTCTTTAAATCCCACCCCATCCTCCCATACCCTCCCCGCCACCCGCTTATTGCACAAAATGAGATAATCCTAGGTTGGCAGTGAAAGTCGCGTAGAAGGCTTATGTTGCACACGGATATGGTGTTAACGCCTGTATAACAATAGCTACCTATTGAACATCCACAATCTACCAGGCTCTTGACACGTGTCAACTCATTTAATCCACATGAGCGACACTGATATTATGGACAATAAAAAATAAGCAAACTGCAGCTCATGGAAGTGAAGTACTGTGGCCAGTCTCCCAGTCAGTGGTGGCAGAACCAGGATCTGCACCGGGGTCCAGCCTACTCTTCCCGACTCAACAGCCACACTGCCAACTGGTGCCAGATGGAAGATCCCAGGCCCGACGCCCTCCTCCCCTTTTTCTCCACAGCCCACCACCCTGCCGCCACCTCGGCTCTGCTCCGAGCCGCAGCGCCCCTTCTCACGTGCCATTCAGGACTTGCACCCCCTGCACCCTTTCCCGGCCACCTCGGCTAACAGGAGCCTTATACCCCGCTCTGACTTACACGCCACTGTTCACACGCACACACATCCATCATGGGCCCAGACAGACTGCAGCAGAGAGATCTAATACTTCACGTCTGACCTCCCGCCAGGCCCAGCGCGTGATGGATAGGTCTCCGCCTTTCACAGCTCTTGCTCCTGGAATGATGAACGTGGCCCCCTCAGCTCTGGCATTTAGCACCGAGAAAGCTGATGAACTGATGACATGTCTCTGCGGCCAGCCCATGTCCTCATTAGAAGCTGCTCCCACAGGGGAACAGAAGGCATTTATTAAGCATCTCCCATGTGCCAGGTGCCGTGCTAGACACTTCACAAATACTTTATCTCGTTCATTTCTCACAACCCGGAGACAAGAGGATTCATCATCCCCCCTTAATGGATGAGGAAAGTGGGTCAGATCAATCACTGCTGGAGCTGGGGTTCAAATCCAGTTCTGCTCAGGTACGAAACCCGCCTCATCTCCACTGCACCAGTGTAAGAGGGAGAGAAGGCAATATCTTACCTACATGCAGGTATTTCTGGGGATGCGTTTCTCTGTGTACGCTCTCTATCCCTCTGAAGGACAAGGCTGACCTGTTAATTCTGTCTATAGGCTTTTTTCCTTCCCAGGAGGGTAGACGGTACATGGTCCTTTTTATGACTTAAATCCTTAGGGAGTGGAGTACATCTTTAACATAGGAAAGGGGGTAAGAGTGCACCTGCCCATGAGCACGCCCCAACCCGCTCCTCACACACACTCACGCACCGCTTCACTCTGGGACGCCCCAGGACAGGCCCCCTCCTGACTGGCCTCCACACCGCAGTGGCCTGACATGGAGGCCGTAGCCTGCTGCTGACTTGGCCTGCTCCTCGGGACTAACGGCCTCTGCCCAGGATGGCCTGCTCCAGCCTTCCAACACACTCCGCCAGGAACCCCCCCACCCCGCCCCCAC